ATCTCTTTAAGTACAGAATAACACAAGAATTGATCAGTAATTCAGTGACCAAAATGGATATTAGAGTCGACCCAACACTCTGTAATTTCCTATCAATGTATAAAACATGAAATATTACATTATTACTCCACTATTCAATATTGTTTAAGTATTTATTCTACAGTATTAGATGTAATACTTATTTTTACTCATTTTTCTTTTAATCAATATTTAATTTCCAGTGTATATAAGGAATATGTTTTTGTAAAAACATTTCTACTATACTTATTATAATGAAAAATAATGAGAGGTTTATTTAAATTGTTTAATATAGTCATAAACAGCTTGAGCTTAATGTCATCGGAACCCATTGTTTTGGAGTGTGAAATTGCCAGACAAAAAGATTATAAACAGTTTTTCGTACAGAATCATGAAAATCGAGATTTCATTTAATTATTTTTTATTCTGTGCACAAAACAAGCGCTAACACGAAAACATCACAATCTTTATTCATAGAAAAGTGCTAAATATTACTCATATTATTCTGAAAAATATGTGTTCTTAGAATTTGTCAAAACTTTATCATTTTTAAAATACTATACTTAATTCAAGGAGTTGACAAGTACAGTATTTATAATATATAGATTACTCTAAAACCTTGAAAATCTAAAAATATTATTAAATATTAAGAGTAATTTATTAGAAAATATTAATTAACGTATTCTTGGAAATCGTGTTTATTTGTATATATTATGATCTGTATGCATTAATTAAATCAATTTTCCACAGACCAATTTTTGTGAAAACTATAAAAAGCAAAAAGTATCTGACATTCTTATGTAAATATTTAAATTAATAAAATATTTAATAATTCAAATTTTTGATGTTTTAAGAAATAGACTAAAAGCTAGACTTGACTTAAAAAATGAACCTAATGAATAAATGTTGGGATTTATGTATCGAGAGAATGAATATATTTAATATATTCTATTCATTAGCTTTCACAACTCAATAAAATATATTCTTATAAAATAAGTAAACTTCTATTTAAATAAAATAACATTAAAATTTACAATCACAACGAAGTCCCTAATGAATAGATTTCTAATATAAATGAAAATTACTTTTTCTTCTAATTTAGTAACCAATGGGAGAATCAATGTTTGCATTCAAACACACGTCTGTATCTCAGGCGAGATCTTATATCCAGTAAAACAACAGAATTAAGATCTGATATATCACTTCATTTACATTATTATGCATTCTCTGTACTAATCTCTTAATGAAATACCATTTTCTTATGACATCAACTAAGATATTACTTAGGATTTGGTTTTAATTATAATACATTTAAAATAATGATAACTAGAATATATAAATAGATACAGTTTCTAAAGCAAACTAACATTCATACTAATACTATAATAAACTTCTTTAATATTTTATTAGTATTTGCTATCAATTAAGAAATTAATACCATTTTAATAGAAACATATGAAGACTAATGGAAAAGTCAACAAAGCTATTTATTTGTTCATTCATTATATTTCTATTCTTAATTTATTACTTACTTTTATAGCATTTTTATCAATGATTTCTTATAAGAGATATTATCTCACTTACCTCACTTGTAACTTACGTAACTTTCGTAACGGCCGTAACCTCCGGTTGTCTACAGTGTGTCTATGGCACTGACTGTGAGATTGGATTGAATTTTCAATATTTTGCAAATCATTGTCACAAACAGTGATCTCTTCTCAACTCATCCAACACTTCCAGACAGTGACCGACCCATCAATCCTTCAAAATGAGCGATCATTTGGGAAAAGATATGCGAAAAGTGAAGAAAGAGGAGGAGGACGACAAAGACAAGGAGAAGGAGATCAAGAGTGAGTTGATATCACTGTCTGATTGAGTGGTATATCATTGAGTGGTACTAATGGTATGTTTATTGTCAGCTCTGGATGAGGCAGACATCGCTCTGCTCAAGACATACGTGAGTAGTGATGATGTGGTGGTAAATGAGTGGTAATAGGGATGACATGTGTTGTGGTTAGGGTTCGGGACAATACAGTCGATCCATAAAGAAAGTGGAGGACGAGATCCAGTCGATCCTGAAGCGCGTGAATGAGTTGACGGGAATCAAGGTCAGCCTGTGGCCAGACCGCGGGGGGCGGGAGACCCTGAACCGACGCCTGTTCGTCTGGGACGTCTTGCTTGTCGGGGAAGTCCAGCGGGCGACATGATTTTAGTATTGGCGGCTGTTGCTCCTGAGCAAGTACATAATCAATGTCAAACAGTTCGCTAAGTTTGTGGTCGATTTGGCCGACACTGTGGCCCCCACTGACATCGAGGAGGGCATGCGGGTGGGCGTCGACCGCAACAAATACCAGATCCACATCCCTCTGCCGCCCAAAATTGATCCCACGGTCACTATGATGCAGGTCGAGGACAAGCCGGACGTGACTTACAGTGATGTCGGCGGCTGTAAAGAGCAGATCGAGAAGTTGCGGGAAGTCGTCGAGACTCCACTCCTTCATGTACTCACTCTTGTATTGCATTTCATACGATTGATTCACTCATCCCTTTCCATCCATAGCCCGAACGGTTCGTTAAGTTGGGAATAGAGCCACCAAAGGGTGTCCTACTGTTTGGTCCTCCGGGAACCGGTAAGACTCTGTGCGCTCGTGCCGTCGCCAACAGGACTGACGCCTGCTTTATAAGAGTTATCGGCTCTGAATTGGTTCAGAAATACGTCGGAGAGGTATAGAAAGGCGACAAACGGCGCCCCAAACGAGTGTTAACTAACTGTTTGTGACCCAAAGGGCGCCCGAATGGTGAGAGAGCTCTTCGAGTTGGCCCGCAATAAGAAGGCGTGTCTTATATTCTTCGATGAGATCGACGCCATCGGTGATAGACAAATAGTACAAATTGTTAAAGAATATTAAAAAACTAATTGTAAGTTAAATAAGGGATACTAACATTTCTATACTATAAGTATTTTGTTATTATAGAAGTGGAAATAGAACATTAGTTTATAGTAATAGTTTAGTAGTTCTATTATAAAAGTAATTAAAATATTATTAAAAATTTTAAAATTAAAATATTTTATTATATTAAGTATAAGTTAGTGAAGGAGAGAGAGAGAGAGAGAGAGAGAGAGAGAGAGAGTCTTTAATAGATGGGTATAAAAGAGCAAAGTAAATATTTTGTTCGAGAGATTGATCCCTAACAGAGTAGAGTATGTCTAGAGATAACATGTTTGAAAGAAATATGTGATAAATTCATGGAATAATCTTCTTATTTATAATTGAATATAAAATTCCGGTATTTTGTGACGAAAGTCTTCATAGTATAGAGTGAACGGACATAATCTATAGCATAATGTTTTATATTATATATTATCAGAGATAAAGTAATGATTAATTAAACTTATATGGACTTGAAGATAAACATGTCGTTTATCTAACATTAATTATGTGGTTTATCACAATCTCATCACTTCCGTCAATGGACTCAAACCTAAAGAATATCATTGATATTGCAATTCGTTTGAATCGTTTGGTTTCATATTAGCATCACTGAGAACCAAACTATTTCTTAATTATCATCCATTTATTTGATGATTACTATCAGTTTTCGATAAAAGAGACTTATATTTAATGCAACAGGGTATTAATAATTTAGTTAGTAATATAGATTAATATTAATAATTTAATAAAAAGAATATTTTTTTTAAATATTTAAACACAATTATAAGCATTCACAATTAGTAGAACATTTAATTAATTTGTTTAAAAGATAATTAAAAATAAAAAATAAATAAATAATAAAAATTAATATTTATAATATTTCCCTTAAATTCCTAAATATTTAGAATATATTTTTACTATTGTGATATAAAATATACAATTTATTAATAATTTTTTATTAAAGTAAAAATATATGCAACTTAATTTTTTCTGTTATTTAAAATACTTCTATTTTAATTAATCATTTTGATATTCTAATACTGTAAATATATAGTCTATACTTTAAGTAAAATTCTTAAAATGTTAATATTTATGCAATTTGTAGAAATAACCTACTGTACCTATATACTGTACTTACTCTACGGTAAGGTTCATAAAATAAATGATATAAATATCATTTTAGGTCATAATAAAGATATCGTTGTCGTTATAATTTTAAATGCAAAGAACCTTTTTCAACATTATCTGTATATTTTTGTTATGCCTAAAATAAATTTATATAATAATGTATAAAATCTATACTGTATTATATAGACTACAGGCACACAGTAGAGTACTGTACAGTAGAAATGAAATTGTATACAGGTATATCAAATTCTGTAATAAGGATTAAATCCTGGTATTAAGTTTATAGACTAGTGTAACGATTTTGCAATACTTATACTCAAAATAATTATTTGTTTTTAAACAATAATTTCCAGTATTAGGCATTAGTAATATTCTCTAGCTAGTAAATTGTTAGAGCCTGAACTTATTTGACAACAAAAAATAATATTACAACGAAAGTGATAACGCATGTAATTATTTGTTTTTAAACAATAATTTCCAGTATTAGGCATTAGTAATATTCTCTAGCTAGTAAATTGTTAGAGCCTGAACTTATTTGACAACAAAAAATAATATTACAACGAAAGTGATAACGCATGTTAACAACATCTGTATAGTAGGTGTAGTGAGGATTAGTTAAGCTCTTATAACTAATCTCTCGATCGTTTGGTTAAGAAATTGATAAGAGATCGCATCACAAGATTAATATTCCGTATCTAATGTGAGTTCACATCAAATGTAGGCATTAAATGAAGGCATTCAAACACAAGACAATCTCATTCTCTCTATTGTTTGCAAAAGAAAATTGAAATCACTTCGCAAAATGTTAATGAAATTGATTCAGCCTACGAATATTACAATCGATTTTTGTTTATATATTAAAATTATAAAAAAAACTTTAGCATACGTTTTAATATGAATTTTTAATTTAAAGTTTTGAGTCATTTATCATTTGATTGTCTCTTCTACTTTCAAAATATATAAGAATTCAATAAATATTTCATTATAAATAACTTTTTTAAGTTTCACATGAGATAACTTTAAGAAAATTTCATATTTTATAGAGAAATAAGAGTTTTGACAATATTTTCAGGTCTAATAAATTGAAACAAAACTAATGCGCGAATATTCTCTCAATTTTAATATAATGTGCACAAAACCTTTTTATTTACTTTCATTTCTGCTTATTTATAATAAAAAACTTTTCAATCAATAAATGTATTTTTATAGATTTATTTTTAAAAGGATTTTCTTTGTAACAATACCATTTCAAACAAAACATTTGGTTTTAATTAATTAATTTTATAAAAAATTATATTTTAAACACACTTTTAGACATTACATTAGAATTGCATAATAATTGAGTTTTGGTGTTATTCTAAAAACATTAATTAAATTGGTTTTGAATTCATTGCTTTTTTAGTTTTGGTTTGAAATTAAAAAATACTAAAATTCTGTATGAAATACATTATTATGAAAGAATTATGCGTTCATCACAATTTGTATCTATTAGCATAATAATATGATATAAATCTTACAATTACAATTGTTAACATTATAATTTCAATCAATAAACTGATACAATATAATTTTATAAAAATAAAATCAACAGTTTTTTGAGAAAATATTATGTAATAAATGGCTATAAGAGTGAGAAATCGATTGAACGGACAAAACCCCAAAACCTGTTCTATCTATCGATCGCTACTTTCATGTGTTATTGTGATGAACACAAACACTCGCCTCTCATTCAGTTATCACCAAAAAGTAGAAAAAACTATAAAATTTTAATTGTCATAAACTTTTAGAGTAAATATTTATTAATTCAAATGAGATCAAAATTGCATTAATTTTATTAATCAGATAGTTTTGTAATGAAGAAATTAGACTACAGTACTCTTAATTAAGCTTCAATTCTATGGCACATCTGTTTGAATTTAATGTCGTTTAACAGCAATTTCATAATACAATACATAATTTTTAATATAATTATTTTCTTCGTTAACTACTTCTTATATATTTGTAATCAACAGACCCTTTATAAACTTAGTAAAATATTTAATAATATAATTTAGATCTTGTAAATATTTTTAAATATTAAAAAAAATTAATATATAAATATGAACTGTACTGTATATATTCTTATTGACATAAAATAGAAATTCTTTTCCGGTAATATTAATAATATGTATGATATTAATATACTGTAATTGGACAGTAAAATTAAGATTAATAATATTTTCAATGATAAATTCAATCTTAATAAAACATTATTTTTCAATAAATAAATTACAAGTAGTAGTTACAGCGGAAGTAGTTATGGTTTGAAATACAATAAATAATTTGTTATATATTGGGAGACAAGTCATGCCTCTTTCTTATACTTTAGGCAACTTTAGTAATCAAATCCATTTCCTAATACAGTGTCAACATTATTTTAGTTGTAACAGAATATCTCTTTAAGTACAGAATAACACAAGAATTGATCAGTAATTCAGACAAAATTGCATTAATTTTATTAATCAGATAGTTTTGTAATGAAGAAATTAGACTACAGTACTCTTAATTAAGCTTCAATTCTATGGCACATCTGTTTGAATTTAATGTCGTTTAACAGCAATTTCATTATACAATACATAATTTTTAATATAATTATTTTCTTCGTTAACTACTCCTTATATATTTGTAATCAACAGACCTTTATAAACTTAGTAATATATTTAATAATATAATTTAGACCTTGTAAATATTTTTAAATATTAAAAAAATTAATATATAAATATGTACTGTACTGTATATATTCTTATTGACATAAAATATAAATTCTGTTCCGGTAATATTAATAATATGTATGATATTAATATACCGTAATTGGACAGTAAAATTAAGATTAATAATATTTTCAATGATAAATTCAATCTTAATAAAACATTATTTTTCAATAAATAAATTACAAGTAGTAGTTACAACGGAAGTAGTTATGGTTTGAAATACAATAAATAATTTGTTATATATTGGGAGACAAGTCATGTCTCTTTCTTATACTTTAGGCAACTTTAGTAATCAAATCCATTTCCTAATACAGTGTCAACATTATTTTAGTTGTAACAGAATATCTCTTTAAGTACAGAATAACACAAGAATTGATCAGTAATTCAGTGACCAAAATGGATATTAGAGTCGACCCAACACTCTGTAATTTCCTATCAATGTATAAAACATGAAATATTACATTATTACTAATCTCTTTAAGTACAGAATAACACAAGAATTGATCAGTAATTCAGTGACCAAAATGGATATTAGAGTCGACCCAACACTCTGTAATTTCCTATCAATGTATAAAACATGAAATATTACATTATTACTTCACTATTGAATATTGTTTAAGTATTTATTCTACAGTATTAGATGTAATACTTATTTTTACTCATTTTTCTTTTAATCAATATTTAATTTCCAGTGTATATAAGGAATATGTTTCTGTAAAAACATTTCTACTATACTTATTATAATGAAAAATAATGAGAGGTTTATTTAAATTGTTTAATATAGTCATAAACAGCTTGAGCTTAATGTCATCGAAACCCATTGTTTTGGAGTGTGAAATTGCCAGACAAAAAGATTATAAACAGTTTTTCGTACAGAATCGTGAAAATCGAGATTTCATTTAATTATTTTTTATTCAATGCACAAAACAAGCGCTAACACGAAAACATCACAATCTTTATTCATAGAAAAGTGCTAAATATTACTCATATTATTCTGAAAACAATATGTGTTCTTAGAATTTGTCAAAACTTTATAATTTTTAAATACTATACGTAATTCAAGGAGTTTACAAGTACAGTATTTATAAAATATAGATT